AGGAAAAGAGATGACATTTTCGATTTCTGAAGAAGGGGGGGGGGGGGTTTGTCCCGGATTAGGACTGGAAGGAGCGTCTAAATTTATTAAAGTAATTTGGCAATGGTTTTATAACAGGGTTTTATTGAGGGAAAGATCTGTCCGGGAGGATCCCGAAATATTGTCAGAGAAATGAAGGAAAACTTTTACAACGGGACTAATGGTAGATAGTAGTGGCGAGACACTTTACGACGGATTAGAAATCATGTAGGCTGTAAAGAAAGGGGCCTTTATGACAGGATTAACAAATTCACAGAAAATATCTTCTGGGGGGAATTTTCGAGTTCGCGTGGGGTACTATTAAACAATAACTGTTTATCATCTTTTTATACAGCTGTCGTAGACTTTGGACATTTGGGAATAGTCTATCCTTTATCTTCCTTTTTCTCTATTTTCTCCAACTCAATTCTCTCATGGCGTGGTTAATAATTAATTCTACGTACTTATTTCTATTATTTACAGTTGTTTTTTTTATTCCATCAAATGCGCGACATTTCGTTCCTGTGTTTAAATAATTCCCGCAGACCATGAGCTCCATTAGGGATTTTCTGGGGGAAAATATGTCACTAATACTACTTCCCACAAAACCACGCTTGGGGACGAAAAGTCAAACGGGCCGACATTGGGCCAGTATTGGCAGCCGAGCTGCCCAGTGTTTGGTGCCAATCCTCAAACAGCCTTGGCCCAGTCTCGGCTAGCTATTGGTTTGATAACGTTGGGCCGGTATTGGTTGCCAAGCGTCGGCCGATGATCGGCACCCAGAAAACAAGATGTCGACAATTTGCCAGAAAATTGTCGACATAGCATTTGAAAATTGACAGCTGAATAATCGACAAAATTCCGGAAAGAATTTCCGAAACTTAACAGGGAAATTATCTCCAAAATTACGGACGTTGACCATATTCGTCACCAAAATGTTTTGTTAAATATACCATCAATGTATCATCTAATGTGTCGGCAAAATTTCCGCTAAAAGATATCAGCAACATGCTGTCATAATATTCCGACAACATGTTGTCAAAATTATCAGCAAAATTTCCGCAAAAATTGGACGGCAATATGTCGTCAAAATTATCGGTAAAATTTCCGCAAAAACTGGACGACAACACGCAGTCAAAATTATCGGCAAAATCTCCGCTAAAAGGAATCAGCACCATGCTATCATAATATTCCGACAAAATGTCAAAATTATCAGCAAAATTTCCGCAAAAATTGGGGGACCACATATCGTCAAAATTATCGGCAAAATATTTGCAAAAATTGGACGGTATGTGTGAGGAGGGTTGAATAAATTTCATCCCCAAATACTTTTTTTGAAAATTCAATTTTCAGTCATAATATCCCAAGACTTTCAAAATTATCAGAATATTTCCCGATAGCTTCGTTGCAAACAAATGAAGGTGTCAAGTTTGCAGGAAAGCTTGAGGGGAATATTGCGATTAATTTTCGAGGGATATTCGGCGGATTTTTTTCCAGGACTGGATTTTGACCAAACAAAGCGCATTATTCGAAGGCACAACTACTATCAAAGAGATGTGATTTCCTAAAGCTAGTGTCCAATTTCCGAAAAATTTTTAAACAAATGAGCATCGTGATCTCAAATACTGCGCTATGATTCGCTGAAATCCAGTCTTGAAAAATCATCAAATATGCTCTTATGAATGAATATACTCTTATACTTGATTTATGAGGGGGTTCATGGGAAAGGGATGAATATATATATTTTATCCCCAAAAAATTAGATTTTTTTGAGAAGTCATTTTTCAAATATATCTTTTGATTTGTGGGGGATTTTATAAGAAACGGGTGGAAATATTCAATCTTCAAGACCTTTTTTTGGAAATTCGTTGTTTGAATATGAGGTATTCCATGGCAAATGAGTCAACGGCTAACCCTCACCATCTTGAAAATTGATGGCGATTTTTTCTACGATTAGGAGGCTTGAAAAACTACCTCTCAAATTTGTTCAGATTTTTTTGACAGCCCAGTTCGGAAATGTGATTTTTTTCAAATTGTTCCGTTTTTTTACCATAACTCGAGTTCTACTAATCCGATTTCGATTTATTAGGGGGCCAAATTTTCCATTTTTCACCATCTATAAGAATATTTTTTTTCAATTTTTTCCAATCTTTAGATGCTCGAAATAACGAATTTTCGAAAAAAAAAGTTGAAAAACTTAAATTTTGCCAATTACATCACGGTCGATTATTTTAATTTTTTTTTCAGTAATTCTTATAATGAAAACGAAAATTTTGAGCCGTCATACATGTTAGGTTCCATGCAGGATCAATTTTTTTTAAATTTTTTCTTCTTAAAATAGCGAAAATTTGGTGAAAACACCTTAAACCGACTTTAATCATGTATCGAAAAAATATGTAATATATAGGTATATATTTAAATTTACTTCATACTGTTTATAATCAAAGTCAACCAATGACATTTTGGAGTATTTTGACCGGATTCGCGGAATTTTGAGAATAAAAAAAATTGAAAATAAAATAGATCTAAGACGAAACCCAATATGTATGACGGCTCAACATTTTTGTTTTGATTATAGGAATTACTGAAAAAAAATGACAATAATCAACCGTGACGTAATTAACCAAATTTAAGTTTTTCAACTTTTTTTTTTGAAAATTAGTTATTTCAAACATCTAGAGATCGGAAAAAATTTGGACAAAGGACATTCTTATAGGTAGTAAAAAATGGAAAATTTTGATCCCTAATAAATCGAAATCTGATGAATAAAACTCCAGTTATTGTAAAAAAACGAACAATTTGAAAAAAAAAATCTCCGAACTGGGCTGTCAAAAAAATCTTTAAAAATTTGATAGTTTTTCAAGCCCCCCAATCGTAGAAAAAATCGTCATCAATTTTCAAGAGGGTGAGGGTCAGTCGTCGACTCATTTGGCATAGAATATTTCATATCCTATCGTAAAAAGGCGAAAGGAAATCAATCTCGAAATGTCTCGAAAATCTCGAATAAGCGTAAGCGTAAGACTAAAACCGAAGCGCCACTACGTAAAGAGATGAGAAGGCGCGTGCGTAGCACGCGCGGCCAATCCTGTATTTTATTATTTGCAAGGCGGTTCGTAAGGAGGGGGTGAATACATTTAGTCCTCAAAATTGTTTTTTTTTGCAATTTATTTTTCAAATATACCCTCTCACTTGCACGGAGATTCCTTCTCCTTCATTAGAAAGGGGTGAATATGTCATTCCCAAAAACATTTATTTTTTCGAAAAGGAAAATGGATGAAAATATTTTATCCTTGAAAACTTCTGTTTCTTTCCTTCGGAATACATTTTTCAAATCCACCCTTTGATTTGTGAAGAGGGTCATGGTGAATAAATCCCATAGCCAAAATTTTTTTCATTTTTTTTTTAAATATAGCCTCTCATTTGCAAGGGGATTCCTGGAGAACGGGTAAATATATTTTATCTCGACAAAATTTCATTTTTTTAAAAGTCATTTGTCAAATACACCTTCGTTTTTTGAAGGGGTTTATGGGGAATACGTGGATATATTCCATCCCCAAAAATATTTTTTACGGAAATTCGTTGTTTCCCTGCTGAACCTACTTGAAAGTGAATTGAGGGATAGTTGAGAGTCAATTTGATTCCTGTTTTTGAGAGAAAATTGAGAGTTCGTTGAGAGTAGGAGTGACGGGACTAAAAACCATTTTATGCTGGCCGATCTCATTACTATAAACTTTTTGAAAGCTGAGAGTTGAATTTTTGATTCTCAATTGTCTTTCAACTTACTTTGAACTTTTTTCGGAATTGAGAGTTGGATTTTTGATTCACGATTGTCTCACAATCTAATATCAACTATTTTGAGAAGTGAGAGTAGGATTTTTTTGTTTTTGAAAATAAGATATTTTGTTCTGAATTATTGCTTAATCTACTTTTTGAAAGTTAAGAGTTGGATTTTCTACTCCCAATTGTCTTTCAATTTACTCTCGACTTTTCTTTTCTTGGTGATCAGGGGATCAATTGAAACATATGATTGGCTGACCCCCCCTTCCTTCCCTTACCCCCACCATCACAGGGGAAGGCATAAAAGAACTACCCTCAGACATCGGAGCTCAGAATCGGAGCTCACAGCCCTGAAGATGCAGATTGGAATGTTTGCGAAACGTCGGCGCAATGCTGAAACCAAACGCGGCATCCATCCGGTAGCCAATAATGTCATTAATCATGACCGCGAAAGCCTTAAAACTAAGATTAAACGCCTCCACGTAGAGGCTATTCTTGAATCGGTGAATTTATTCACCAAACTTAGGAAGTCCGTGCACGTCCAACTGTGCTCCCTCACTTTTTTGAAAAGATGCCGTGACCATCAAGTGGTACAAAAATTGCTCCGCTTGAGGAACCCTGTTCCCTCGAGACAGACAAATGCCATCCTCTGCCAGGCTTCACTGAGACTGGTCAAGGAGAGAATTGCAGCGGCCAAAAAGAACCTGGCCGATCTCTCCAGACAGCTTCTCGATCTTCACATTCTTCTGGCTCAGACGTTGGATTCTCAGCTGTGGGAGACTCTTGATCGTGTTATACATGAACAAGCAGTCCGAACAACCGAGATGAGCACCGAGAATCAGAAGATTAAGTTCAAGAAGCTGCTCCCCCAGGAGAAAGTCGCGACTGTCACCCGCACTGTAAAGAATCTGAGCAAATATGAGCTCAGTGAAGCACAAGTGTCTGTGTTGGCGAAAGGACACAACTTCGCTGTTGCCCCCAAAAAGATCCCTACTGAGGAAATTATTAGTCGGATCGAAACGATGATCTAGGATCTTCCTCAGGAGGCCAGTGGTGAGATCCGGAGGCAGTTGTCCAACGTCCTCCACAAGGCTACTCCCCCTAGTGACAATATTACTAGGGAGGAACGTCTTGCACTGCGTAGTCTAAAGGAGAATAATGATCTCATTATTCTTCCGGCAGACAAAGGCAATGCCACGGTGGTTATGGATAAGGGCGACTACTCCAGAAAGCTCTGTGCGATGTTGGATGACTCTAGAGTTTACACAAAGCTCAGGAAAGATCCTACTCGTACTATTGAGCGCCAAACTACTTATCTCCTGAAGAAGGCTGGACTCTCAGCTGATCTGACAAAATTCCTCACTCCCAAAGAATTCTTCCCTCATAGACTCTATGGACTTCCCAAAACCCATAAAGAGTCTGTTCCTCTCCGGCCCATCATCAGCAACATTGGAGCGCCAACTTACCAGCTGGCCAAGTTTCTCACGAAACCACTCCAAAAGTTGACTGGCCTGAATGGTTCATACATACAGAACTCGCCGGGTTTCGTCAACAAACTGAAGAATCTCAGGACTTCTCCAGATGACATCCTAGTGAGTTTTGATGTGGAATCACTCTTCACTAACGTCTCAATCCCGGAAACCTTAGTAGTAATCAAGGAGTCCAACGACATCTCTCCCCAATTCCTCCCCTTGATTGAGCACTGTTTGACCTCCACATATTTCCAGTTCGAAAGAGAGTTCTATGAGCAAAAATCGGGAGCAGCAATGGGTTCCCCCATCTCCCCGATCATTGCAAATATATTCATGGAACACTTCGAGAACGATACTTTGAAGTCAGTAGCGCAGAAACCTGCTGTGTGGTTCAGGTATGTGGACGATACCTTTGTCATCTGGCCACATGGGAGGACTGGTCTAAACCAATTCCTGGAGTTCTTGAATGCTCAGCACCCGAGCATCAAGTTCACCATGGAAATTGAGCAGAACGGATGCCTCCCATTTCTGGATGTTTTGGTTTATCGCAATAAGGATGGCACTCTGGGTTATCAATTATATCGCAAGCCACACAGACAGGTACCTCAGTGCTGTCTCCCATCACTACCTCTCCCAGAAGAACTCTGTCATTAGGTCCCTAATGTACAGAGCTCTTACAATCTCCCAACCCTCCAACGTCAACAGCGAAGTTGAACATCTAGAGACAGCTCTGACCAAGAATGGATATAACATCCACCTAATTCGAAAGGTCAAGCGAACGCTACAGAACAAGCTCTCATCCCCTCAAGAGAAGATTAATCCTGAAGAAAATCGGGAGATACCTAAAGTGACCCTCCTCCCCTACCTGAGAGGCACCACTGAACGCATCAGTAGAGTACTCGGCAAACACCACATCCGAACAATCTACCAACCCCCAAAGAAGATTGGACAGATGCTGCCGAGTGCGAAAGATCGCGGACCGCCTCTGAGTACACCAGGAGTGTATGAGATCCCCTGCTCATGCGGAAAAGTGTACATTGGTGAAACCGGGAGGAAGATTAGTACACGGATCAAGGAGCATCAACGATGTTCCAAATACGGTCACTTACCACAGTCTACACTTGCTGCACATTGGATGGAGACTGGATGGCTAAGTCTCAAGGACATTTCGAAAGGAAATACCGAGAAAGTTTGGAGATCTACAAAAACCCTAACAACCTCAACAGGGACAGAGGATATCAAATGAACCCTATTTGGAAAACCGTCCTCCCGGTTTTTTAATTGATCAGCTGATCAATTAAAACATGATTGGCGGACCCCCCCCTGCCTTCCCCTACCACCGCCATCACAAGGGAAGGCATAAAAGGACTCAGACATCCGAGCTCAGAATCGGAGCTCACAGCCCTGAAGATGCAGACTGCAATGTTTGCGAAACGTCGGCGCAATGCTAAAACCAAACGCGGCATCCATCCGGAAGCAAATAATGTCAACTTTTATTGATGTTAACAATTTCGATTCTTCTTTCGCGATCGCATGTCCGTTCTCAGGAAGGATGAAGGGTGATAAGTGCAGAATCCCAGGCTTCGATTTAGTCTGCACTGATAAAGCCGATGATAAAAACGGAGGCGGCGTACTCATAGCAGTCAGAGAAAAAATCAAAGCTAAAACTATAAGATCACTGAATAAGACCATTAATAGTGTAGAAATCGCACATCGTAAGATTAAATCAGGACACCCACGGCAAGAGCATGAAATCCACCTAATCAGTGCATAGAGAAAATGTCTGCACACTAAACCAAAATATTTTCTTCTAATTCACCACTGCGCTACACAGAAAAAATGAATCAGGGAAAGACGGGTATATCATCAAAATTTGGCCGGATTACTTGACACAATGAAAGAATTCCGTCGTTATACTGGCGGGGATCCGTTAATATTTCATTCACCGTCAAAAATACGGTGAAAATCCAGAAAAATTTTGGTACAAGTATTGCAAAACGGAAGAAATCATCCTGTGTGATGAAATAACATTACCGGGAGGACAAAGGAATTGAAACTGGCGCAAAAACATTTATACTAATACTGTCTCTTACCGTAGATATGGTTTAACTGGCACGCAGTCAAGAGTTGCAACTCTTGCAGATTTCCAGCAGTAAAGGTTAATTGGCACATATAACCACTCCAAAGAATTGTCTGAGAAAACTGAATTATACATTCATATTACAAAAAATGCATTGAAATCAACCAAAAAATAGAGTCCAACTCAATTAGGTAAATAAATTGAAGGAGGTGACCGGACTCATAATTGAGGCCGTTGTGGAATTTATACCAGCTGCGTCCCAGTCGTGAACCGTAGAGAGCCGTTTAGAGTTTTTTATGTGTTATTTGTCTCATATTTGTTGATTGAATAATGCCGAGCATATTACAAAAGAAGAGTTCAATGAATTCATAAATAATTACAAGAAAATCTGTAGTCAAGTGGCGGAGATAGATAAGTAGAAAATTTCTTGACATTTTTATTCGTCACATTAATAATTACTGAGAGAACTAATCAATTATTCATTAGTGAAACGAAGAGAAGAAAGTCTAAAATTGAATCGTTAATCTTTCCTTCAAATCCGCATTTCTGCGAATTGTCACCACCACCCGACGCAACACGTTTAAGTTCAGCCTTAAACTTATCCCATTGATTTTTCATTTTAAATTAAATTTATATCTGTATTTATAATATCAGAGTACAGTCGTGGACTAATCCGCTGTTTACCGCCAGATAATGGGAATAAAACGTGCATACCCGTCGGCATTTCCGATCATTTTACAACGGGTGACTAGTAGATGCGCGGTGTGATAGCTCATTTTCAAAATATCGTTTCTTCGTTTTGTAATCATTAAATGTTATAAATTCAGACTAATATTGATCCTAAAACCTTAATTTTTTAATATTGTCATATCAATTTCTTCCAAAAATGGTAATTTATTATTAAGATATGAGTGTTCCGCTATTTGGGTCAGTTTTCCACCCTAACGCCCAATTTACGGAACAACCATATTTTTTTATGTCTCGTACCACAGTGATTCAGCGGCAAGTAGAAAAAAGACTAATGATTTGAAGAAAATCATCTGAAATTGTTGACATCCTCTCAATAAATGTCCTCATCATTTCGGTTTTCTAACCTCTAACTGTCATATGGAGTTCCAATATTCCGTAAATGGATGGACGGTATTCCATATTTGACAGAAGTGTTCCACAATAGGTCTTTCAGACTTACATGTAATTATTAATATTTTTCGATGATTTCCCATTGAACAATTTTTGTTTTCAATTTTTTCACTGAATATATATTATATACTAAATTTCTGGACATGATACTTTATTCTTTATCATTGTGTGAAACTCTGAACAGCCGTTAGGTATTATCTAAGCCTCGAGCTCTACGGTTGACTTACCGTTTATTTGTATTCATCTGAAAGAGCTCTATTTTGGTTATATTCTTAAATTTTATGAGCAATTCTTCGCTGCTAATGGAGTGAATATAATTAATTGAAAATGTACACGGTTGATTGAGCGACGCATGAAAACTGACAAAAGTGACCGAAAGTTATTGCACTGTAATAAAAATTCACGGTTAACCCACTGAAAAAAATATATTACCATAAAGAACGGTCGTAAAACTATATATTCTGAGCAACTGCGTTCAATCGTTGCATGAGGATAATTCACAAAAAGTTATTGTCGTGGCCCGTTCCACAACTGTCCTTTTGTACTCCTCGGTATATCTCACTCTCCCTTTTGTGGCAGTCTGAAACTAAGTTATATCCGGTAATATTCAAATTTATCATTGATCATGATATTTCATCATTGGAAATAGCGTGAATGCAATTGAAATATTATCGCATAATACCAGAGAGGATCACTGATTAGTTTTTCTACACTTTGATGGACTTCCCACGATTTGTTAACCTAACCTCACTTCCAAGCTTAGATAATACTTTAAGTGTTCCATAAATGGACTGGTTACCTTACATGAGAACCTAATTTCTGAATGAAGTTTGCATCGCGTTGAGGCCTCATTTTATTCATTTAGATGTATACAATTGAAAAAGAAAATTTTCGCCCATTTTATCTGCTAATTTGCCGTTAATTTTATCCCATGATTGGCGGCTAATTTTATCTGATAATTTGTCGCGTATTTTATCAGATACTTTGCTGCTGATTTTATCTGTAGATTTACTGATTTAGATGTATACAATTGAAACGGAAAATTGTCGCCCATTTTATCTGCTAATTTGCCGTTGATTTTATCTAATAATTTGCCGTTAATTTTATCCGATGATTTGCTACTAATTTTATCCAATAATTTGTCGCGTATTTTATCGGATACTTTGCTGCTGATTTTAACTGTAATATTACTCATTTTTTCATCGTCTATAAAAAGGCAATAATATCTGTCGTTATATTCAAAATCTACTCCTAAATTTATCATCAACTTTGCTGGCGGTCATATACAAATTTCACTCTCAACTTGACAGTTTAACATCAAAATATGCCATCCTTCTGTCGTCAAACTGTCGGCAAATCGTGTTCAGTTTATCTGCAAAACAAAACTGAAATTTACGGATAAACTTCAGCCTATGACCCCCGTGACCCACCCAACACTCATTTTTAATAGTTGAAGAAATCAATCAATACATTATTTTTTTATGATTTAATTTACATTCTTCGACTAGCCCTTCCTAAAGAAACCGATAACCGCCGATAATGATGAGTGGAATGTTTGACTCGTCGGGATTCGATCCTGGATCATTCGGATTGCTAGTCCTTGCCTTTACCCACTCGGCCACCGTAGAATCGTTAGTTTCAAAGAAGTTTATCGGCTACATGAATAAAATATGGTATTCTTATCTGATTCTCTAATTTTCATTGATTATGAGATTAGATTAATTATGAGAAAAAAGGACCACTTTGTCGATATGGTGCTATATATACTCTAATAATATTGATAACATTCCGCACACTTTGAGCCCAAAATGATCTTCATAGGGTCAAAAATGACGTCGTTGGAGAAGATGGAAAAAACAATAGTAGGTATACTAGGCCGGTTCTAGACCAAAATTGCATCTTGCCATCAGGGGCGCCACCGTCGTGGAAGGTTGTGGATCAGTGGCGCCACCAATACGGAACGTTCGAGAAAAATGACGTCATCGATGACTCATCGACTCGAGTGGTGGGAGAATCCCTCTACGACCTGTTAGGACTTGTATGAAATATGATGACCTGTTGAAACTTGCATGAAATCGGATATTGGCGCCACCATCGCGGAACGTTCGAGAAGGATGACGTCATTGATGACTCATCGGCTCGAGTGGTGGGAGAATCCCTCTACGACCTGTTAGGACTTGTATGAAATATGATGACCTGTTGAAACTTGCATGAAATCGGATATTGGCGCCACCATCGCGGAACGTTCGAGAAGGATGACGTCATTGATGACTCATCGGCTCGAGTGGTGGGAGAATCCCTCTAAGACCTGTTGGGACTTGTATGAAAATATAATGACCTGTTGAAACTTGTATGAAATCGGATATTGGCGCCACCATCGCGGAACGTTCGAGAAGGATGACGTCATTGATGACTCATCGGCTCGAGTGGTGGGAGAATCCCTCTAAGACCTGTTGGGACTTGTATGAAAATATAATGACCTGTTGAAACTTGTATGAAATCGGATATTGGCGCCACCGTCGCGGAAGGTTCGAGACGGATGACGTCATCGATGAGTCATCGACTGCCATGGTGGGGGAACCTCCCAAGTCCTGGTGGGGCTTGTATGAAATATAATACTATGAAAACCTGTGGACACATGGATAAACTTGGATATTGCCGCCACAATCGCGGAAATTTCGAGATGAATGACGTCATCCATGAGTCACTCGGGCTGATGACTCATTTACTTACACGGTGGAGAAACTCCCCGTAAGTCCTAAACATGTGCAAATATTTAACG